AAACAAACAAAAAAACCCCAAAATATTAAAACACACCTAAATGTCACAGAGGAAGTCATTCCATTTTAGCTTTCTACCACAAGCAATAGCAACAACAAAATGCCCAAGAATTGTAACCTAAACTATTTATAAAATTTTATCCTGTCTCCTTATTCATCATTTCATTTTAATCAAAAATAGTTAAGTAACAGCAGTTCAGGTAGAGGAGTGGAGGAATCAGAACTGTACTAGACAAAAAAGAAAGTAAAAGTAAACCAATTTAATATGCCCAGTCATAGTTTTTATTGACAGGTATAGCTTACTATCAAATATATAAAAAAAACTTATTTGAAAAAACATTTAAAAATATACAGATGAGAACAGTTGAAACAGATAAGGTTTAGGCACAATTTTGAACTTTTCATCAAGGTCTTCAGAGAAGCAAGGTCAAAATTATATTAAAGTAGGGCATGCTACCACATCAAATTGTGAATACTCTCCATCAGATTTAAAACAGGCAGGGAAAATGGTAGTATCACAAAATAGGATTTGATTATAGAGTCAAACACTATATTATCAAGTGCTAAAACTTAGGAAATAAGATAAAAACCAGAAAAACATAGTGAAATTGCAAATTTCAATGTTATGCTTAGGGGGAGAGTCAATAACTATTTGAATGAATTAATGATGCAGACTGGACAATCTTTATTAATTTAACCAGCAGGAATACACATATTATTAATAGGAAAGAATGTGACCCCTTATCTCCTAAAAAATTTACCTCTTAACCTCTTTGGCATATAGTGTATAAATATTTGTCTCTCACAGCTTGCTTGCCACTTCTAAAAACTTAAAATATTTTGTTTTCCTGTGTAGAAGCAATAGCTATTTTTCAGAAAGGTAATTGAACCTATTAAACTTTCTGAAATCAATTGGTGAGTTTGTTTATTGCATACAAACTGCAAGTATATTTTCTTAGTTATACATTTGGTATTTTTACAGAATCATCCCACGGCTCGAATTTTCCTGTTCTGGACTCATGTTCATGGGAAGAGGCTCAGCTTTCCTCTCAGCTGTACAGAAATAAGCAGGTATGTGCAGAGAGTCAGAACACTGAGACTGGCCATGTTCCATGCCATCCATTCTCCACGGAGTCTGTCTTTAAGATCACATTGCTTCTTTTCCCTGTTGAAATTCATGTTGACTTAGTTTAGAATTAAAGTGAGTATACATCCACAGAGAGATCAAAGTTAGGTGATCAATGTTACAGAGAAGAAAAACAACCAAGGCACTCTCAGAAGACCTACGAATTCTGACTTCATATATTTTAATTGTATAACCTCTCGAATACTCCTTTTCCTCATCTATGGAATTAGAGTATTTGTGCTGCCTATCTCGAAGGGCTGTTGGAAAGATCAAATGATATAATGACTGTTGCAATATTTATAAACCATAAGCATAGCTAATACTGGGAGAACGGATGATAGCTATAAAAGTTTTTCCAAAGATTGCTTCATTTTCCATGTTTTATTTATTGTAGCTTCTGAAGAGTAATTTAATCTAGTGGACATACAGACAGATCAATCTGAGTCTCAGGGAAGCCAATCCACATCTCTTGATTTATTTATTTAGTTTTTTGAATGTGCAAGGAAAGAGTCCAGCAAAACCTTTCTGAACACCTTTTTCTATATTTAAACAGTTGCCTGCAGCTCATTTTTCTTCATACTTACCTGATTTCCTTGTGGTTACAATTTTAAAAGTCATATAATCTCTTCAAGCACTTCACAATGAATGAAAATTCAGAACACATAGCCAAACAATCAGGTGTTAGGGGGATGTAGATTTAATTTAGGTCTCTGAGGATGAGGGCTCCCTGAGGTTGTGGTGTTCATAAAACAAACAGAAGAATAATCAGGTTTAAGCAGGTTAAGGAGCAGTGGCATTATTATAAGGTTACAAAGTCAATACAGTGGAGCAGCCCTCACCATTGTCTGCTTTTTGCAGCTCCAAGATACTCTGGTGCAAAAGGAAGAAGAACTAGCTAGGTTATATGAAGAGAACAATCACCTCAGACAATACCTGAATTCTGCTTTGGTTAAATGTCTTGAAGAAAAAGCTAAGGTATGTTACCTATTGCCTTTATAAGAATGGAGCAGTGATTTGATAAAGGAGACCATTTGTGTAAAACTCCTTGATTAAATGCAAGAAGTGTACTTAAATAGTGTGTCTTGATATACATTTACAGGATGGATGGATTTTTATTAAGGAAATATAGCACTTTCACAAGCATGTTTATGTATCATTTCTCTGAAGTATCTAGGTTGTAGATGTTAGCCATATGTTACAAGAAGAATTGCTTAAGAATCAAAAGCTAGTCAAAGGAATTGCGGAGACAGCAGAAGTTAATCAAAAGGCAGAGTTAGATGGATGGAATACTGGAATGGGAATCAAATCTGAAAGACAGTTCTTTTAATTATATGTTTCACTTTCAGTAAATCACT